ATTAATTGTTGTAATCTTTAATCTTGACAATGGAGTCTATCTAATTGGCAATAATATAAGACTGATGTGGAAATAACTTCATTGTCTTCTCCTGAAAGAGTGTTAGTCAGAATGTTTTCATTTTCCAGGAATGTATCATACCTGTTTGAAACTGCCATTTTAAACTCCATTTGATTTATAAGAACCGGGAGTAATTTGTCTTGTTTGTGAAGGGCAAGAAGACCGTCAGATGTTTGTTATCAATATAAATAATAAATTGATTTCCTTCTAAAACTAATGAAAATCGTGTATTTCAGAATATACCGCGATAATTTACTGACTAGACTTGTGATATGGCAGAACAAGTCCCGATAACCTCTTTAAGGAAAATTCCAAAGACTGTCATTTGAAGTTTCTTTTTGTTAAAGAACGATCCCCAGGGTTAAAGATCAGTTACGTAGATAGCCAGTGTACAAAATGATATTAGTGGACTTGCCACTCTAACTTTGTATTAGCTTTCTATCCCTTGAAGATATAGAAGAAATTACGCAGAATATTGGCTGCATTGCGTATGAACTTTCGCCTAAAATATACTATGGCCAGATAGATATGGAGACGCTTAATGTCATTGGTACATTCAACCATGATTGTGAAAAATATTCATTGAGCAAATGACCTCAAAATTCGACTTCCGATCGAGAAAATATACATTTCTTAACTTTAAGCAAAATTCCATGTCGTTATCACACTTCGAAGACTTTTCTAAAATATCACAAGTGTTCTTCTTATAAAGATAAAAATTTCAATATAAGCCTAACATATATCACAACTCACCGCTGCAGAGTGTTGTTGAAAAACACTTTTGAAAATAGAGGGCCGATATTTCTAAATTGGAATCCCATAAATGGAAATTCATTTAAAACGGAAATGTAGTTATTGCTCTTATCGGAATATTAGTTATATAAACAAGAATCTGAGAATAGTCTTTCGCCAAATCTAAGATAGTGAAATGCCAGTATTTTACTCCCTTACTACTATACTACCCGTGAGTGAGTATTTAAACCTTCAATATTTTTAGTCAAAAACCTGTTTGATATAGTACCGGCATTCAGAGCCCTAAACTCGCCATATAGTCTTCATTCTATTATTTTTTCTGTACCATGTGCAGCGGAAAACGCCATTCAATTTACGAGCTCTACCTTCCTTGCACATTAAATTAAGTTAATAATTTGCTGCTGGTAAACGTTTCGTCAAAAGGCGTGGACGACTGAAAACATGTTGATCAGATGAAGTATTTGTTTATAAGAGATACTTTATTTCTCGTGTAACACTAGTGCGTTTGGTGACATGCGGAAACTCATTAAACGGTGTTTCCAGGCAGTACAGTGGCGACAATACGTTGGCGGCATGGTTTCTTAGAGCACTAAACTATCACATTTGTAATTTGCGCAAAAAATATTCCTATTGCACAATATAGTATGTCGTAGCAGTGAGTAGAAAAACCAACACCAATAAATCGGTCTTTGAACTAGAATATTCCAGACGTAATACATTTGTAATCTTGTGTGTAATGCTAAATTTGATTCCCGCGTGTAGAAAGAACAGTCCCATTGGTGGTTCGTATATGGAAGACTGAATAAAGTAAGTTAGGACGCAAACTCTCCATAGCAGGTTCTGAAACAAAAATCTGAAAAGATCAAAAAACAAAACTCTGAAAATTAGGTCACGTCTGAGCCGGTATCGACAAGTAAATATTACCATGATAATTATCCAAAATAAATAGGCCACTACCTTAGTTTTTGCCTACGCTTCTCACTATACTCGCTAGGCCGGACCGTCTTCCATTTAATTGCAAGGTGGTGTACTATCATATTAGTTGGCTATAACTCCGAATTTGGCACTATACAAATACATACCAATCGATTATGCTTGAGATTGTATGCCATTTTGTGAAATCCTACTTGTGAGAGCCGGAAAGAACTTCGTCGGCGATAATTGTGTCAAATGCCTTTTTGAAGCAGTCATCTGAGTTCACGTTGTCTTGTATTTTCCGTCTGAAGATTTCATTATCATATCCTCAACATCCAATCGTTTTTAAGATTTTCTAAAAAAATATAGTATTTATATAAATCAGATGTTCTGTGTTATAAACAATGTCTCGGCTTGAACTAATGAAAGAGCGGTTTTGGACTTCTCCAAAGGAGCTAATTCACACAATATGTGCCGAATTAATGTTGTTAAATCACAATCAGCTCTGGCAGTTGCTTGATTTAAGGTTACATAGCATTTAATAATTACCAATTTGTTTGGTGGCGTAGGCTTCCGCGGCCGGAGTTTATGTTGGCTAGGCTACCCGGGACGAGCCGCGTCAATGTCATGGTGGCTAACGTTTCGGCCAGCGTATTGTGGCCTTCTTCAGAGCGTACTGCTGAGCCAACATACCAATTTGTTTTGTAAACATTATTAAATCGTTGATCTTATTTTTAGGTTCCGAACAACGGTTTTCTTTGGATTGTGCGCGGTCATCATTTATAGTATGTTATTTTACACAATCATAAAGAAAGGTTAAATAAATTGTTAGGTGCTAAACTGTATGTTGCACAAGTTACATGGATGGTAAAGAATTGTCGCGAATAATAATAATAATAATAATAATAATAATAATAATAATAATAATAATAATAAACCGAGCGAAGTGAATCAGGGCGTAGCGCGCTGACTTTGCAGTCGGGACGCCCGGGTTCGAGTTCCCCAGGCCGGCCATCCTGACCGGGGTTTTCATGGTTTCCCTTGGTCATACAGGCGAATGCTGGGATGGTTCAAAAAGGCCACGATCACCTCTCATCATCATCCTATCACTTCATAATTCAAGGGTTAACAATCTTGCCTTACCAAGGGATACAGCCGAAAAGCTGATCCCCAATGTGACGCACATTAATCACTCTACGGGAATAGAATATGCCTGGACGTCAGAAGAGCACGTGTAGCGTGGTAAGAACTGACCGACAAGCAAATATTATTATTATTATTATTATTATTATTATTATTATTATTATTATTATTATTATTATTCGCGACAATTCTTTACCATCCATGTAACTTAATAATAATAATAATAAGTTTGAATACCATCCTCTCTTTTCCTTTATTTTATAAAATAGCGTTTGTTTCAAAGATATTTCTGCATATCGTAAACTATTTTCACAAATTTGAATGAAAAAAACTGCTGTTTCAATACTCAACAATAAACGCAAATATATAGTTCATTTGTTGAGAGAATTTTGAATTTTTGAAAACAAATTTGGTGTATTACTAATTTCCAATGCTCGCTAAAATTTGAAGGAAACGTGTCAGCCCGCAGCCGTCTGAGAGGTCTACTATTTCGTTAGCTACCCAGAAACTCAAGAAAATCCAAAAAACGATGCAGCCTCCAGTCCTGCAAGAGATTGTTTTGGTTTCATATAATTCGAAATTTGTACTCATTGAGATCGATGTTTAAGGTACGAGGATATCCAAACTAGAGCAATGGAAACAGTATTGAACATCAATAAAGTATAAACAATTACGTAAAGGAGAATTGAAGAATTATACTAGAGAAATAAAAGAAGGATAAACTTGGCTTGGGAAAAAGTCGTTGCGTCGCTGAAGTTCATATTTGAGGACCATCATCAGACAATTAAAGTTTCAACTTTTGTGTATTGTGAGACCTGTGTATTTCCGGTGTGAGTTTGAATAGAGTTCAGACATAGTTTTCGAAAAAAAATAGATAATATTATCAAGGGTCTGTCAAAGAAAAATGAAGAGAAAAATAATTAACATCCAATCGAACTTTAAAGGAGTAAAAAAATTGAAAACAGATGTTCAAACGTCATAGCAGCCAAGGCCCAACAACAAAAATATATGAGCAGGTCACGTGGCGAGATAACGAGATGAAAGATGAAGACGGTCAGGAATTGGAAAAAAGAAGGAAATATGAAAAGAACGGTTTTGAAAAATAACATAATTTTTTTGTGAAAGACAGTGCTATAAACTGTTTAGACTAAGAATTCAAAAAATAATGAAAGTATGTATGTACGTACTTTGCATACATGCACAGAGCTCGTTACGAGCAAAGGCTTACCAGCAGCGTCCCGGCCTTGCGGCCATGGGTGTTGGGTACTTGTGGTTAGCACATATCCATCTCTACGCATTATTTCTGGTATTCTCAACCTGAGAAGTGAGCTTTCTCATCATCACATAGCAACAGATACTGGGAAATTGCAAGGAAAGCGCACAATTAAATTTTACCCGGACTGGGAACCGAACCCGTCGTTGCGCCGTGAAAAGCGAGCACTATAACCAACGAGCCACCGACGGCTTAAAATATAATGAATATAACAGTAAAAAGTGATCAAGACAATAAAATTGTAAAATGTTAGTAAGTGGAAAGGGCGTTAGTGTATACACCTAACAGTGAGTAAACAACGAACATAACAGTAAAAAGTGATAATGGAAAGAAAATTGAAAAATGATAGTGAATAGAAATGATGTTAGTAATAGAGAGTAATGTAAATGTAAACTTATAGTAATTAGAAATCATGGCATTGTTACTGTACAAATTCTCCTAAGGTCTGGTTCACCTGAGAAGAGAACAGAGCCTTCTGAGTTAGTAGGATATACATGTCTTTTAGGGATTAAATGAGCAAATCAATTAATCTGTCAGTATATTTTTCTTTCAAAATCATCCCATAATATAGAACCCAAGAATTTGCAGTAGTATACTTTGGAAACCCCTGAATGCGGAAACTTATGGACTCGTGAACGTGTCTGAGGAGAGGTAAAAGTGATCGAGGGTGACAATCTCTGCCTGCAAAAGAAAACAAAATATCGCCGCGCAAGAAGACTAAATAGATTAATGTACGACGACTTTTTCTTTGTTCCTCGAATTAATTCGCCCCTGAAATTATATTTCATTCATAATAAATAAGAAATTATTTACTTCGAATTAAAATTAGTAGCTATTAGATATTTATGTTGCATAGATTATGTTTACGCGCTTTGTGGGCTGGAACTTTTGTTTGAGTCCCCTGAGAGCCTTTTGCCACAGGCTTGTTTCTCTGGGTCCTCCTGCCCCTGGGTGACCTCTGAACAGAGCCCAAAAGTCAGTGTACTAGAGAAAATGTATTACTGACTTACCTAATAGTAATATAAGAAAAACCATCAAGCATTAGTTTTTATAACTACTTTTACAAAACTCAACCCTTACAAGAAATTTAAGCTAGCGCGTGTGCCTTCCAACGGGCAAATCGAGCTCTCGGCGAGTTCCTCGGGATTATTCCATTGAATAGAGAGACAGGAGAAACAGAAGAAACACAGAAGAAAAGAAATGCGAATTATTCCATAATCTTTCGTTTGATCATACTATTTCCAGAATTTCTTATTAAATTTCACTCTCGATATCGACAACCTTGGTAGTTGGAAGGCTCATCAATTTCAATGAATAAAATGGGGAAAATTGGACTGTCAAAGATATACTTCTCTCTTAAGAATCCTTAATCTACGATCGACATACACTCATTTGTTGTCTTAATGTTGCATTTTTTGTGGAGTATTAAATTCTGTTATTTATCAATAAATTAATTATCAAATAGAAGTATAAAGTCGAAAAAATACTACATATAGCATGTTGGTCGCAGGTATGACTTCTTGTAACATAAAAATTAGATTGGTCTTTGAATAGTGCGGAAGCGATTAAACATTCATACTTTTGTGTGAGGAAACAACAATGACAGATACAAACCATTCATCATAGCTCACAAAAATCAAAGACACTGAAAATCCTAGTGGATTTTTGTATTTTATTTAAAAAAGATGAATATTGTTTGTGGCAGAAAAAATGGTTATCTAAATGCAAGCCCTTAAAAGCCTTCGAGTTCCTCCAAAATGGCCGATACCATCATATACTTCCGAACTGCTACCCGAACAACATGCAACCCGAAAAAAGTTTCTAACCTGCAAAAATGATTTTAGCCATCGTGTGATTCGAACTCTGGTAGTACTTAGGTTTCCAAGCACTTCAACTTATGAAATTTTAAAAAAATCAGAGATTTTACTGAAATAAGGACCTGCTCCATATATATATAAGCGTACTTTTCTCTATGAGAGAAAAAAAATTGTAAGATTTGGAACTATATGCGAGAAAGTTTCGAAAATTGTTTGAAGCTTCTTGTACAGTACCCCCGAAATAAAATATCCGTTTCAAATTTAAGAGGCCGCAGATCAGGCAGATCAATCAAGGTATACTGTTGTTTGCAGAAGGACAGAACCAGTAATTTAACCGGCAAAAACAAACCAGAAAATAATAAAAACAATGAACAAAACTGAATCTGAAAACATCCATCAAGGTCACCTCAAGGAGTCAGAGCTTCCTCAAATCACCGGAGAATGACGTGAGAAGAAGAGAGCGCCCTATTCCTTTTGAAGTTGCGTTAACCAACGCTCCGCGTGCGAAATACACAGTAGAAAAACCAGGTCATCCGAGTCACCTCTCTGAAGGGAACATAATCTCCTCGAAGAAGGTAGTATAAACAGCGTCCCCTTCGTTTGAGCTCATGAACAGTCGGTGATAAGTTATTTCATATTTTAACTTTTACAAAATCGTGAGTATGGATGTTTTCATTCATATACAAAATTTGATAAGCGTACAAACATCCAGTTCAAAACATTGATGTTAATATTTGGCGGCTTCAATCTACCGATGTTTGAAATATCCATATTTTTATAGAATCAGCGATGTTTCGAAAACATCGACATCGATATTGCATCCCTATTAATGTAGTGCATGTGAGCATGTGTGTAAGTAAGGGATGGTGATTGGATTAAAAAAGAAGAAGTAAAGATCGCGCGCGGTCCGTGGCCAGTTTATTAGGGAACTGTTTCGGGAACTGAGCCTGGTGGTGATCTAAGAAACCACGGAAAATTACCGATTAAAGCAGCCGGCCACTAGAATTTTCCATTACTCGCGTAGCAATCTAGCCAGTGTCGAAAATCCTTATCGCCACGTGTTACAGCTTCGTTGAATCGTCAGCGTTTTCTTACAGCCAGGACTGCGTATAAACACATTGGAGTCCTAGTTTAGCATTAGACAATAGTTATGTAATCAGTGCAACATTGTTAATGTTGCATTAGTTTTCAAAAACTTCGTGACCATCTGTGCCCCCGTGGAAAGGACAGCAAAAACAGAAATTTTTCAAAATATATATGGCCGTGCCATACCTCAAAAACTGAAAATATATTACGAAAAAACGCACAGGAAATCATTGTATTATATTCTTAAATAAATGTGTGATTGTTTCTTAAATATATAAAATTTTACTTCAGTTATATTTCAATTCATTCTAGAGTGCACCGTTGCCCACCCCAATTGCGTTCGCCGGGTACCGGAAAAGCATTAATATGCAGCTGCTAATCCAGTTTTTAAATCCAATTTTTTATATCTTAAGAAAATTTTCATTTTTATTCTACTTGAGATCAGTAGATCAAACAATTTCTCTCTAATTTTCTTTTCCAAATCCGTAAAAAAACACGTGTTGGCGTTAAATAAACTTGACTGAGGTGAGTTGAGTAAAGTTGTAAAAACAATTGATAAAAAAAGTTAACTGTTTCCCAGAATTGTCAATATGTTTGGAAGCTCTTAATTATTTTCAATAGATATCGACGAACGCCATGATTTATCAGTTTCTATACTAATCCGTTGTGCGAATTTCTTCCAAATACACCCGCAACATACAGTAACATCAGAGTCAAGGATCAAGATATTCTCCCTAGAGAACTCAAGAAACTGCACTATTTTGCGACTGATTAATACATAAGTACGATAAGGTAATAGAACGCACACATCGAACACAGGATTGAAACAGAGAACACTGAGCCGACGTTAGACACGCCGATACCAGCATTGATAGCTTCGACTTATAAGAGCGCACTGTGTACCAATATGCTGGACGGTCGAGGGGGGCGATTTTTATAATGGCCTGCTTTTCGTAGAATTATAGCTTTTGTCTGCGATTATGCGACAAATGCTTTCTTATCGAACTCATACGGATGTAATAAGAACCTTCACTATGATCTTAGTGTTTAATGAATATATTAAAGCTGTAATGTCATACTAACTTCATTTTGACTTCTTTTCGCAGACAAAAGACAAGGGTTTGTTTGAAACTAATGAGTAACATTCTTAACTAAGACTTTAACGTAAAGCCGAAAGCGACTTTTGGAATTGCAGTTAAAATGCAATTATATTATTAAATGCAATTATTAGTTAATATGCAAATGAATAAAAAAACTTATCTTCTTCGTAAACCTTGTTTCTATTCCGTTGTTCCTGTATTCACGCATATGCTTCTCGTTAGTGTAGATTTTGTTTTCCCAAAATAGGGTTTTTCGCCACGTCCCAAAATCTGAATTCAAATGCCAAAATAACGAAGTAAGAAAATAATATTGGAAAATAATTACCCGTGTTGCCAAGAAGCCAAAGTTTAAAATGCCAGGGTTTTTGTTTCCCGGGAGGTTTGAAAATCAATTCCATACATTTCCATCATTTTCACTATACACTTGACACCAGAAAAGTTTGGAGATCATTCAACAGCAAAGTCGTTTGAAAACACCCTTTGGTTGTCGACGCCTGTCATTATAATTGTCAAATAACTTCTTACGCCGCCCAGAATTCTCGTATATTATATTAAGTCACTAGCATACGCAAGGTGCCTCAGAATGGCCGGCCGAGCTTACGCTGGCGCCGCGCAGGAGCTCTGGATTTCATAAAAAATTAATGCAAAACGGGCTACTATGGTGTATCTCGCTTTTATATTCGCCTTTAGAAGAACTATGTAAGATAGGAGTTAACCAATATTTTTATAGAATGTTGGAAAATAAGAAAGTATAAAAACAAGATCTCCGACGTTGCAAAACCTCCTGTATCAATAGTAACAACCATTTAAAAAGTCCTACTTCTGTTGATTATTATTCATCCGAATCATCTTTTCTTTCGTTTCTAGAAGTTACTTTTCAGCATTTCCATTAAGAGTTTGTGCAGTAATAGATTGTTTAATCCAAAATAATAACAAATCTAAATAGTTAAAATCATCCAAATTGCCAAAATAGTTACCGGCACAGGGATTCGGACATGGCTCTCCTGGTTTACGCTTAGTTACTTTTACCACTAACTCACCGACACGACGAATTATTTCTTAAGCCTATTGGGTTGCCTTTTATTTCGTAATATGGGTTGTGAAAATTGTTCAATAGTAACATCCGCCAGGAATGTCTCTCTGCATTGAACCGAATCATTAAAAATTGCATTTATTGTGGTAGCAACGAGTGCATTAGAAAACAAATGACAGGAACAACCCTTCCAGCATCTGTTATGATTCTGGTGTGTACCCAATTTACGTTTTCAAGCTGCAGCTCATGCTACAAACATAATTTCTGCTGCAAGCACTCTCACCAGTAATGTGCCTCTGCGGAGAGACTTTCCTGGCATGCTATATATTCAGAACGTTTTGTGCAAGGGATCCCTTTTTCCGAACATTATATAATTCAATATAAGTTAATATAATTTTATAATTGAATAGAAACCTACCAGTTTCAGAAATTAGAATAAGTTTGGAAATCTATGTTACTAATTTCACCCACCCAACCACAATATGTCTCTCTCTCTATTTAT